TCATTACTTTCATTAAATTCAACAGCGAAAGCCAGTACGGGCTCGTCGGATTCTATCCATTGTTCCATAAGTTTTGGAAAAAACCACGCGAGCACTTCTGTAGCTTCCATCAAAAGCAATCCTCCGCTCTCCCCGTCTTCTAACCAAAGTAAGAATCATAATAATCATCAGACTAAACCAATAGAACCGAAGGCGTTACGTAGGAGTAAGTCCGCAGTCCCAACCCGAATTGAAGCAAAACGGGAAGAGTTGCCACACCAAAAGCACCACGATTTTCGGAAGCTCAAAGAAATTTTTAATCGTCCAATGCCAGAATACGATCGTCTTGCAAGAGACCGAGAAACTTTAACACAGCACCAGAAGGAAACATTGATGCTAATTAAATCGCAGCAAGCAAAGGAGCGAGATTCGTTGCTAACTGACGTCGAAAAGCAGCTTCAAGCAAAGATGGAGGTAACTCCAGAAGAACGCTCTGCCGCGCTGCTGAAACAGGTAAGTATTTCAAGTCCAACGAACATATTTATGTTGAACATCATCAGGCGAATTAACATTCCTACTCAGTCTTGCCGAATAGTAAAATTTCAACCCAATACGCGATACGTTGTCTGTGAGTGCAATAATTAAATTAAAATGTTTAAACAGAATATTGAAAGCTAACGACATGACGAAATGAAACTTTCGATTGGAATCCAGGTACGAATACGACTCGTGCAACTGCGTTGTTTATGTTGTTAGCCTTTCAAGTTAATAATGCGTAGATTAGAACAACTTATTTCTCAGGTACGAAAAGGGCGAATGGAGCAGATGGAGGAAAAGGCGCAGGCCTTGCAGGAGCGCCTGCAACAGGAAGGCAGGTGGGAGCGCAGGATGGTCCTGCAGCAACGCCAGCATCTGCAGCGTCTGCAGCAGAAACAGGAGCAGAAGCAGGAGGCCCAAAGAAGAATGCGACAAGCTCTTGCTAAACTGTGAGCCCATTTATATTTTTTATTTCACATAGAGAGGCGCACGATGGAATTTATTGTGTTTGAGAAAATGCTATGCCGCTCTTGTTATCCAGGTATTAGGGGGGTACACGATAGAATTGAATGTGTTTGAGAAAATACTATGCCGCTGTTATTATCCATGTAGTAGCTTAGTTGCGGCTTATGAAGATACTACTGTTATTATTTTTAGTTGTATTTGGTCATATTATGGAATTATGAATATTTATTTAGTATTTTCTTTATTTGCCATGTTACTAAAGCGATTCTGTAACGTAAATATTAATTAAAAATTTATTTAGCCTACAATTTAGCGGACGTAAAATTTAATGACGTTTGTTTTCTCGGTACTATTGAAATATATAAATAATCAGTATTCATAATAAAATAAGGTTGAAGTCCTTGCCCAAATAACCGCCCCCTTCCTCCCTTGAAGAATGGCAGAGCGGAGGGCTCGTGAGCGAGATGAGCAAGGTGCTCTCGAGCGTGAGCGACTAGAGCGTGAGCAGTTGCAACAAGAGCATGAGCAGCACGAGCGTGCGCTCATGAGGCAGGTAGGTGACACGATAAAAAACCTATAAATTATTTCAGTAGTGATATAAAATGTTAAGAATTGTTCCACGCATCAATTGTATATATTATTTGAATAACGAACACGCATGTGATCCGTTACATGCATTAGATGTAAGCATGTGATGTGTGGAATTGGAAAAAGGGTCTGATCAAGTGCTAGCTTTAAAATTATTTCTAGCTAATTGATTTATAAGCTCAACTTTGAAACATCGATTGTTTTAACCTATTTGGTGATAATTGAATTAGAAGTGGAAAAACTCACACAGTACCAAACCAGCATTATTCATTTTTTTTATAATGAATGCCAAACTGTTTTTGAATTTTGAATGTTAAAATAATCTTGTATGTAAGAGCAGCGAGCGGCAGAGAAGCAGGCCGCCATGCAGAGCCTGCAGCAGCAGCTACAGGCTGCCAGACTACGGCACGACAAACGCGACCTGCACTACGGCGTGGGTAAGCCTAGCCTCCACACTAGCCTCATTACTAGCCTCCACACTAGCCTCTACGCTAGCCTCCACACTAGACTCATTACTAGCCTCCACACTAGCCTCTACGCTAGCCTCCACACTAGACTCATTACTAGCCTCCACACTAGCCTCTACGCTAGCCTCCACACTAGACTCATTACTAGCCTCCACACTAGCCTCTACGCTAGCCTCCACACTAGACTCATTACTAGCCTCCACACTAGCCTCTACGCTAGCCTCCACACTAGACTCATTACTAGCCTCCACACTAGCCTCTACGCTAGCCTCCACACTAGACTCATTACTAGCCTCCACACTAGCCTCTACGCTAGCCTCCACACTAGACTCATTACTAGCCTCCACACTAGCCTCTACGCTAGCCTCCACACTAGACTCATTACTAGCCTCCACACTAGCCTCTACGCTAGCCTCCACACTAGACTCATTACTAGCCTCCACACTAGCCTCTACGCTAGCCTCCACACTAGACTCATTACTAGCCTCCACACTAGCCTCTACGCTAGCCTCCACACTAGACTCATTACTAGCCTCCACACTAGCCTCTACGCTAGCCTCCACACTAGACTCATTACTAGCCTCCACACTAGCCTCTACGCTAGCCTCCACACTAGACTCATTACTAGCCTCCACACTAGCCTCTACGCTAGCCTCCACACTAGACTCATTACTAGCCTCCACACTAGCCTCTACGCTAGCCTCCACACTAGACTCATTACTAGCCTCCACACTAGCCTCTACGCTAGCCTCCACACTAGACTCATTACTAGCCTCCACACTAGCCTCTACGCTAGCCTCCACACTAGACTCATTACTAGCCTCCACACTAGCCTCTACGCTAGCCTCCACACTAGACTCATTACTAGCCTCCACACTAGCCTCTACGCTAGCCTCCACACTAGACTCATTACTAGCCTCCACACTAGCCTCTACGCTAGCCTCCACACTAGACTCATTACTAGCCTCCACACTAGCCTCTACGCTAGCCTCCACACTAGACTCATTACTAGCCTCCACACTAGCCTCTACGCTAGCCTCCACACTAGACTCATTACTAGCCTCCACACTAGCCTCTACGCTAGCCTCCACACTAGACTCATTACTAGCCTCCACACTAGCCTCTACGCTAGCCTCCACACTAGACTCATTACTAGCCTCCACACTAGCCTCTACGCTAGCCTCCACACTAGACTCATTACTAGCCTCCACACTAGCCTCTACGCTAGCCTCCACACTAGACNTGATGGTATGATGTTGTGGTGTGATGGTATGATGTTGTGGTATGATGGTATGATGCTATGTCCGGCAGCTTGCAGGAAAGAGTACCGGGAACGTAAGCGCATCTCGCACTTGTCCGGCGCCCAGCCCCCCGCTCCCCCAGCGCCCCCCATCGACGTGAGGGGGGAGGTGGCCCCCCACAACGCCCCTGTCTTCCAGACTATCCCTAATAACACATAATTATAATTGTATTATACTGACACATCAAGACCAAACTTCTCCTTCATCGCTACAAAGGAGAGATATCACTTTTTCAGTGCAGTGTGTCATTTATATTAAAATAATTCTTTAACATTCAATTCGTAGTGAGTATTTGATTTCTAAATTTACTAATTGGTGGATATAATTGCTAGAAAGAAGCGAATGATATGATTCATCTAATTAAATATTAGACAAGTTTAGTGGCATAGTCCTCCTCTTTCAATAAATTTATCCTTACCTCGCCTAAATTTAGGCTAAGTTATTCGGTCTACATGACGTAGCCGTACATAAGTTATGTGGTCTACCAGTCGTAGCTAAACGTAAGTTATATGGTCTACAAGACGTATCCGTACATAAGTTATTTGGTCTACAAGACGTAGCTAAACATGAGTTATGTTATCTACGAGACGTAGCCGTACATAAGTTATGTGGTCTATAAGACGTAGCCGTACATAAGTTATGTGGTCTACAAGACGTGGCCGTACATAAGTTATGTGGTCTCTACAAGACGTACCCAAATATAAGTTATATGGTCTACAAGACTTGGTCGTACATAAGTTATGTGGTCTACAAGACGTGGCCGTACATAAGTTATGTGGTCTACAAGACGTAGCCGTACATAAGTTATGTGGTCTACAAGACTTGGCCGTACATAAGTTATGTGGTCTACAAGACGTGGCCGTACATAAGTTATGTGGTCTACAAGACGTACCCAAATATAAGTTATGTGGTCTACAAGACGTAGCCAAACATAAGTTATGTGGTCTAAAAGACTTAGCCAAACATAGGTTACCTATATGTTAGCATTTTGTCGTTCCTATGATTTCTGGCACGCGTCTGACAGTATTTATAAAATTCACTGGGATTGACACGGTTAGTTTTAGACAGCTTATTCTCAGTTGAGAATCCAAGTGTCGATAGAGAGAAAGAACGTCACCTAACCTATGCAGTGTTATGGATGGCTTCCGGGCTTGAATATAACTTCCCGTACCAACCGAATTTAAATGCAAGCACTTATAGATTTCTTAAATGTATACACTTTTATATGCAAAGACTCTGAGATCGATCTTTCATGTCTGAGGGCGTAACGTAACTGAGTAACGTCAAGCCAGTGGTGCAACCTATCCAGTCATAAAAGAACTACTAGGTCAATAGCTCATCACATGATCGCACTACCGTAACTAATTTTTTTTTCTAACTTTCGGTCGATGTTACACGTAAGGGTTAATCTTACACCAGCTGACGGTACATGAATAAAGGGTAAGGCTCGCGAACCTCAAACTTCATTTTGTAAGCAATCAAAATAGGATTTTTCGCTCTAATGGTTTTGATAGCTAGTAGACTTGAAGTAGTAGAGACAGAGTTCGATGAGACCACGCGACTTGACCATTTAGTTGTCAAAGAGCGGGAGTCGAGACCCGTGGGACCCTTTTTAGTCAGAACTCGGAACTAGCTCACAGCCTCATTGGTGACTGCTCAGTGCTCACTGTGCTCAGTAATCAGTATGTGTTGACGCGCGGTTGGTGTTGGTTGTATGTGTGTGCTGCGCTTGTTATTTGTGAACTTGCGGTGTCTGCAAAAGGAATACTCGGGAACTAAACGCGTCAAGTGAATACTTTTCGACAGTAGAAATATAATCGTAGGATAATTCAACAAGGTAATTATAGCAACTGTTTCATAATTTTTCATTTATTAAATTTTGTTTAAAGCATGTTCAAATACGGTACCAAATTGGGAAATATTCATTTCCCAGTCTATTGGATACTACCATTGATTGGATCTCCCGAGTCCCGAATTAGGTTCAGAGTTATAAGCTATTTTGTCCGACATATTGAAATGAGTCTATTATAATAAGCCATACTTCATATACCCGTATTGAAGCTTAAATAGGTTGCATTCATTATATGCTCTGTATTAGCCTATATAGAACATTTTGAGTGAAGTGTTGGTGGTATTATTTCGTCCTTGTGTTCGATTCTAGTCTCTAACTCTCTAAACCAGCCTATAATTCTGTCCATTCTTTCAAATTGCTGCTACCAAGAATAATTCTTTTATCCTCGGATTCCATGTTATAACTTAGTGTCGCATGCGAGTCACGCTTGCAACAATTCAATAACAGTTTCGTCCGCCTTACCTTACGTGAGATTTCTTTCTAAAACTTATTAACGTTCAGATTGCATTTCACGTACCTAATTTTGATAGAATATGAGATTAATTTAGGAATAAATAGATTGGCTGGCTTTTTGGAGAAAACTTTGATACGACTACGATTAGTAACGACGCATTAAAGGGAACATTTTTATAGGTATTATTATTTGCAATGGCTTTCCTTATCCGAAACCTTAGTTCCTGGCCCGACCAGCCGGCGAGCATTTCATTTACGACCCGTCACATTGAATGATTAATTGTCTCGTGAATATTTAGTAGTTCGAAATATTCAAAATCTTAGAATCGGTACATAGTTAACGTTCAAGCGCATAATCTTAATGTAGTGAAGTTTTTGAAGTGTCATTACCGAATCAAGCTACCTACTTTAGAGTCGACATTTTTTTCTTATTTGAAGCCAGTCCCACCTACAGCCTTATTTGTAGCATTGCGGCCATAATGTTATTTGCGATCTTTCTAATTATTGACGAGATTACGGAGTTATATTATTAACCGAAAAAGCTAACAGATGGAAATGAAACATTAATAATTATTGTCCAGTGATGACGTTGGACTACTCGTATCACTAGCTACGAGGACTGGCCTAGTTACTCTATGCCTATGGGAAGAGCATGTCTCCTGAAATTCTAAAACTAAACTTTGTGAATGATGAAAGACTTTTCCACCATGGACGAACTGGATACGCGAATAGCGAATATTTTTTGTGTACGACGCAGCGGGACTATTTACTAATTTTTCTAGGAATTTTATGGTAAATAAAAGATGAAATGAACGGCAGTTCATTGCATGTCAGTTTAATGCAAACTAACTTGGTGCATTCATCGGGTATCGTTCATCCACAGCAAGCTCTGTAGCCTGAGTGGCTATGGGCAGGCGATACGACGCCTAGCAAGCGTGCCTAACCGTCGGTGGAATTCGTTTCTTTTTTTTTTTCGTTACCTGAGAGAGACGCCATGGCCGTTGCATGACTTAACGAACGTCGCCAGGAAGGAAGTTGGAGCCGGAGAGGGGGAGGGGGGAGGGGGCGAGAGGAGAAGGGAGGAGGGGAAGGAGTTCAATTAATATCACCAACTGACAGTCTGTTCCGTTGTTTATTTAATATTGTTAAGTCTTATTTTAAAAATCCTTCGCTGGAACTCCACGCTTGTATATAAAAATCCTTAGCTGGAACACCATGCTTGTATAATGTATTTTATCTTGGATTTTAACTTCTTATTCAAAAACCACAGAAGGCGCGTCGATAAATTGAAAAGCCTGGTGCGCACGTTTCTGAGCCAGCACCTGATATAAAGTTCAAATTTTTTCAGCTCCATCCAAACTACTTTCAAATTCCCTATAGAAAGAATATGTATTTTGACTCAAAATTAGCTAAACAATAAATTGAATTTAACTTCGAAAGATCACAAACCTGGAATGGAATTACGAGCATTGTTAAAATATTGAATCGCTTATTATGTTGACTATTTTGCCTAATATATGGGGCAGCGTCAAGAAACTGGAATTGATGACAATATCATTCTAAGCTGCCTCGTTTGATATCGTTGCCAAACATTTGTAGGACATTGCCTCCATGGCTCCCTCCATAGGTTACAATGTTAGTTACTTACCATCATTTGGTCCTTCTTGTACGAGTACTTGCCAAAAGTTTGCAAGGTTCCTATTTTACTTTGCCGGCACGGGTCACAGCAGGGTGACTTTAGGGGGACTGTAGGGTGACGGAAGGGTGCCTGAGGGTTGATTGTAGGGGACGGTAGGGTGACTGTTGAGGACTGTAGGATGACGGTAGCAGGACAATAACGGGACTGTAGGGTGACAGTAGTGGGATAGTAGTGTAACTGTAGGGCGACTGTTGGGTGAATGACAGGGGACTGCACGGTGACTGTAGGGGGTGCAGGGGGACTTGAGTGTGACTGTAGGGGGATTTTAGTGGAACCGTAAGGGAATAATAGGGTGACTATGTAGAGGATAGTAAGGGGACAGTAAGGAGACTGTAGGGAAACTGTAGAGAGATAGTAGGGTGACTGTAGGGTGACTGTAGGGTGACTATAGGGGGATAGTAGAGTGACTAGGGTGACAAATATAATACCTCTGATCTGGGGGTCCAGCTGTGAAGCTGTGACTGCGCATAAAGCTCCAAGCCTCGTCTCAGCGTGTGCGAGTATGAATGAAATACATTTACACATTTACACAGCACAAAATATTTCTGCTAAAGTTCATCGAACTTCCGTGGAAAATTGTATTTAGTTTTGTGGAAAAGTCATTTATGTATACAACTCTAGTATTGTTAGTATGTTCGTCCACAATTTAAGAATTTAGTATTAATTAGTAGTTTCAAATTGTCTATTTCGAAGCAAATAAAATTATATATGACTGTTTTATCTACTTGAATTGTAGTAAGAAATGTTTCATATACTGTATGGCGTGAAATAAAGACGTGTTCCGCAGTGTACCGTCTTGCCTGTTCCATTCCAAGATGAGCGCGACCGCCGTGACAATTTTAAATTGTACATGACTTTCGCTCGCATTACTTTTCATTGAAACAAGAACGTTCAATTAATTGACCCATGACGTTATAATGCAATCGTAGTGTTGGTTGTTCTAAAGAAACAAATTGAAGGCGCTAAGACGCGGCTTTTGAGCGAAATGCCGCAAGTTGGCTCCATTCCACCAAGCATTCCGGATTGAGCTATGAGAAAGTTAGATGCTATTTAGCTCAATCAGTTGTTTAAATTTGTGTGCAAATTTGCAGAAGGTAAAAAGATTATAGTATTAGTTGCAGCCGCTAATGTACAAAATTAAACCTGAAAAATAATTTGGAAACTGTCAATGGTTGAAGCGTATTATCACACAAGCGCCGACGGTACACATTTTCTGTATTTTCGATGTACTGTGCCTAATTTTAAAGCAGGTGTACACATTAAGTCTGAGCGAATTATTTGTATTTAATTTTAGATACTGAATCAATTTTGAATTTTGATGTCATTAATGACCAAAAATTACTCGGTGGTGAAACTTTGGTCAAGTTCACATCATTATGTCTAGCAAGAAGTAATAAAATTAAGCATATAGCTTGTGATTTTGATCGTTTTTGTTTCATTTTGTGGCCTTACAAAGCAGGTAAAAAACAACTGCTATGACGTATGTGTTTGTTTGTCTCACCTTCAGTACTCTATATAATTAAATTCTTCTATAAGCAGGAAAATTAAGTTTAAAATAAATAAAATTCTATTTTCGTATTTTTTTATACTCCAAAACTTTGTTAAACTGTAGGAATAAAATGGTTTCCCTGCTGAGTTCAGAATGCGATAGGTTCGATTTTTTAAGCTCTAGAAAGCACAATTTTAGCTCACGTTCTTCATTTATTAAATTGTCGATAATCTCTACTTCATCAGGCTTGAATATTTGCGAAAGGTCAAGAAGTTAATCCAGCGGTTAACTTGACTTCTTGCGTATTATACAATTTAACAGCAGGAAAATTTGCCGCGAATTACTGATCATATTTGTGCTTCTTTACACATGAGGATTGACATCTGTTCAGTCCTTACTGATCTTCTTAAGACAATGACTATATGGGTTAAAAATGCGATAGTACAACCGTAGTGATAGCCGCACAATTATAAACAAATTATATACTTCTTTTAACCGCCCAATTATAAACCAATTATAAACCAATTATAAACCAATTATAAACCAATTATAAACTTCTTTTAACCGCACAATTATAAACCAATTATAAACCTCTTTTAACCGCCCAATTATAAACCAATTCTAAACCAATTATAAACCTCTTTTAACCGCCCCATTATAAACCAATTATAAACTTCTTTTTACCGCACAATTGTAAACCAATTATGAACTTCTTTTAACCGCCCAATTATAAACCAATTATAAACCAATTATAAACCAATTATAAACCAATTGTAAACCAATTATAAACCAATTATAAACCAATTATAAACCAATTATAAACCAATTATAAACCAATTATAAACCAATCATAAACCAATCATTAACCAATTGTAAACTTCTTTTAACCGCACAATTATAAAGCAATTATAAACCAATTTTAACCCCCTTTAACCGCACAATTATTAGCGATGGATGGAATGTTTCGATGGCGGGCTGGACTAAAGCAAACTCAATGCCTGCCTGCAGATGTGCATACATGGAAAGCTCGAGCCCACGCTGCTAGGCGGGGCCAGGAATCCCCATTCCCTTATTCTGTTCCCCCCGCCTCCCTCAGGTCCCCCTCCCCACAGATCCCCCACTGCTTCCCTATTTCTACAGGTCCCTATCCCCTCACTCACTTCCCTCTCTCCCTCCTTCCCTCCCTTCCTCACTCCCTCGGATCCCTAACTACACCCCTCCCTCCTACATGTCTCCTCACTTTTTCCCCTTCCTCCCAGAGGTCCTTCCACCAGTGTCTTATCGTTGATTACTGTGTCTTATCGTTGATTATCGTGTCTTATCTTTAATTAATAAGTCTTATCG